ATTTTTCCGCTACTGATATTATGCCTCTTCTTGAAACGCTCTTCCCAACTTTTAGAACAAGCAAACTCTTTGTTTTTGATTTTACTCCCCATTTCTCTAGTATTTTCTTGCAGAACACTGCCACTTATGGGAACGTTTTCTAGTCTTTTTTTAAGTAAACCACTTAATAAGTCCCTTGTCAACCTTTTCACGTGCAGATAATTTTAACTTCCTACATCTAACATTTGTTTTGTCATACGCTGATAAAATGTTTTCTCTGTTTTTCCATATTGTTGCAACAGTAGACTTTCCAAGTGCTAATTCCTTACAAATGTCACTCTGCTTTACTCCACTTTTTATTTTGTTAATAATCTCGTACTTTTCATTTAGTGAAAAAGCTTTGCGTTTTTGTTTTTCCATTCTAAAACGATTTACATACATAACGCGGCAAAAAACAACAAGTCACTGCCTGTCGTGGAAGTTCGTTATAAACGGAAAGTTAATATACTAACCTAAAAAGTGATCGATATATCCGGAAGTTCGTTATAAACGGGTTCGTTATAACCAGTAAAAAATACGTTGGTCTTTATGGACGACGTTTCAATTAAAGGAAAAAAGTTAGTTCTAACCGAAAGTTCACTATATCCGGGTTCATTATAAGCGGACTTTACTGTATTATGATTTTTTGCGAGAAATCACTGCTTTTAAAGAGCGTTTTTCGACAATTTTAGTTCTGGTGGCTTTTGAGCAATCACAATCCTTAATAGACGATTTATTTCGTATTTTCACTCAAATGCTCGCACATTTCGCCTGTTCTTTCTTATTTCATATAGAGCAGATTGAAAATCTTCCACATAGCGTCCACCAAGTGAAAGTTTTCATTGAGCATATCGGCGTATAACCGCCGAATGTCGGCTTGTAGGCCCGGCCGTTAGCACGGAGTTTGGGCGTTTTTTAGACGTTTAGGCCTACTATGAGACTCTTCTTGTATCGGCCGTTTACCCAATGTTGTTGAACTTGAAAGGAAAAATATTGGCAAAAGCTTGCGGTGTCCCTTAAATGAGTTGAGCCGAAGGATTTTACTGAGAAACAACAAACATCGTTTCCTGTTGATGTTTTATCGCAATAAATTGGGTGTTTTGTTGGCTGTGTGAGAGCCAGCCCGTATCCCCTATTTCAATTAATTCCGCTTTAAATTAGCCGTTAAAAAATCTCAACTTATAAATATCTCTTACTTAATTCATGGGGTAATTTACTAAATTACATCGGCCATTATCCAATCGCTCTTGATACGTCAGTCGGAATGTTTCATCTTTTCGACAAGTCTATTATTAGTTGAGGAATCCCATTTAGATTTATTACTGTTTTCTTTGACCTATTAGACTGTATTATTCTGAAGGTATTAATGAAAATTCCGATCAGGGGAAATAAGTGGGCATTAAGAGCGGTTCTTGTCCATGCTGGTACATTGAGGAACGTTAAACGGCCGGATCGAAACTTTTAATGTGTTTATTATCAGCATTATTCTCGTTAGCACAATTCCAACTCATGGGAAAGTTGCCACATTTGTTGTGATAATTTCAAATTGCGTTTAATTAGACGCGTTTAACTCGATTAGTCATTGCGTTCAATTCATTCAAAACTTGTCTGGTGCAACGAAGTCTTTGCTGTTTAAACGGATGGCTTACCGACTGGTGAATGTTCAATTAAGCATTTATTTCCTCGACTATCAAACTGCCATCTGGTTGGCGTAATTTTCATTTTGGCGTAAATGGGACGCTTTATGGTCCATGTAATTATCTAAAGTTTTCACATGTGTTCCAAGTCTATTTCGACACACTTGTGAAGATTTTATTATTTCTTGAAAGTTCTGGTTTTTCTTTTAAATTTTACGCTTGATAATTTTTCAAAAGTGAGTTTGAATCTGCCAAAAGTTTGATCATAATAAATTTTTCCGAGTCCCCGTATCTTTAAAGGAAGCTTCACTTTGATTGTCTAAACATTTGGGTTTGAATCGCCCAAGTACTTTGATCAAATGAAATTTTTGAACTTTGAAAGTGCATTTTTTTGGGTAACGAGTCGCGCGTCTTTATGGGCGGTTTCTTCTTCACCACGCTGAATATTGAGTTCCCGTTTCGCCGAATCTTTAAAGGAAGCTTCACTTTGATAGTCTAGAAATTTGGGTTTGAATCGCCCAAGTACTTTGATCAAATTAAATTTTTGAACTTTGAAAGTGCACTTTTTTGGGAAACGAGTCGGGCGTTTTTATGGGCGGTTTCTTCTTCACCACGCTGAATATTGAGTTCCCGATTCGCCGAATCGTTAAAGGAAGCTTCACTTTGATTTTCTAGAAATTTGGGTTTGAATCGCCCAAGTACTTTGATCATATGAAATTTTTGAACTTTGAAAGTGCACTTTTTTGGGAAACGAGTCGGGCGTTTTTATGGGCGGTTTCTTCTTCACCACGCTGAATATTGAGTTCCCGATTCGCCAAATCTTTAAAGGAAGCTTCACTTTGACTGTCTAGAAATTTGGGTTTGAATCGCCCAAGTACTTTGATCATATGAAATTTTTGAACTTTGAAAGTGCATTTTTTCGGGAAACGAGTCGGGCATCTTTATGGGCGGTTTCTTCTTCACCTCGCTGAATATTGAGTTCCCGATTCGCCAAATCTTTAAAGGAAGCTTCACTTTGATAGTCTAGAAATTTGGGTTTGAATCGCCCAAGTACTTTGATCAAATGAAATTTTTGAACTTTGAAAGTGCATTTTTTTGAGTATCTTGTCGCGCGCTTTTATAGGCGGTTTCTTCTTCACCACGCTGAATATTGAGTTCCCGATTCGCCAAATCTTTAAAGGAAGCTTCACTTTGATTGTCTAGAAATTTGGGTTTGAATCGCCCAAGTACTTTGATCATATGAAATTTTTGAACTTTGAAAGTGCATTTTTTTGAGTATCTTGTCGCGCGCTTTTATGGGCGGTTTCTTCTTCACCACGCTGAATATTGAGTTCCCGATTCGCCGAATCTTTAAAGGAAGCTTCACTTTGATTTTCTAGAAATTTGGGTTTGAATCGCCCTCGTACTTTGATCATATGAAATTTTTGAACTTTGAAATTGCATTTTTTTAGGTAACGAGTCGCGCGTCTTTATGGGCGGTTTTTTCTTCACCACGCTGAATATTGAGTTCCCGATTCGCCTAATCTTTAAAGGAAGCTTCACTTTGATTTTCTAGAAATTTGGGTTTGAATGAAGTACTTTGATCATAATAAATTTTAGCAAATTCATTTTTTTCGGTGCCCCGTTACGCATCTTCATATTCTCCTGAAGCTTAAGTGATTTTGCATTTCTTTCAAAACACCAATAATTGGTCCTGTCTCAGTGCATCTCACAGAAAAATCCACAAAAGCAATAAAACGTGGATAATGGAAGCCTTCATGCGTCCATTACTCGGTTCAAGTCAGCTCACGTTTTTCCACCGCGGGACTTCAAGAACTGGCTTAGAGTTAGCGAGCGAGTGAAAATAAGTAGGAAAATAATGGAAAATGAGTCTGGAGCGTAAACCGCGCGCCTTACGGCAATGGAAAAATAATCTATGCAGCTTGGCGCCTTCTGGTCCGGAAGTGCATTTACCCCTTCTAGAGTGCAAAATCGTGCAGACATTGTCCGTGTCCAACAGGAAAAGCGAAAATAGAATAATTGCATTACGGAGCCCGTACGGGGGTCTCTCAATTAATCGCAGCTGTTCAGCCCAACGTAGATTGATAGATCAGCCCTTGAATGTGGCTTAATTCGTTGCTCTCTGCTCAGACGAGCTAAAATGCTGCACCCTAAAAACAACAACAGATTGGTCTTAAAGGCCTGCAATAATGGCGACTTTTTAAATTAACCTGGTAATTCAATAAAATTTAAGTGTTTTAATTTGGTGAACGTTGATGGATCGCAGGCCGCATTGTGGGCCCGACGTATTTATTTTACTTTGCTGGGGCTGAACCAGACTGTGCAGACGCAGCTTGTTAGTGAACGTTGTCGGCTTTTGTGGCTTGCTGAGGCTCATTTCAGACCAAATCCCCCATGAAACAGTTTTTTTTTTTAATAAAATTTTTAAACCGCTGCTCCCGAACTTTATGCCGAATAAACGGAATTTGTCTAGGGCAAACATGTAATATTAGCACTAAATCAAGCTAGTGGCCGAAGTGTAAACGAACAGTTTACAGCCACATTGCGTTAATGGAAATTAATTGTTTCTGTCACATTTACACATTTTATGTGAAGCATGTGGATGAATTGTTGCATGTTTTTTTCAGCTTAACGTTTTGTTTGATTGAAACTTTGTGCATTTTTCAGCGGCCTCAACTTCCAGGACTTGATGGTGCGTCAAGGGGCCATCGATTCGCCTCCGAAATGCCCGTTTATTCTTGGGTTTGAGTGTGCTGGAGATGTTGAGCAGGTTGGAGAAGGAGTCGAAGACTTCCAGGTAGGGAATCGTTGATTTTGCAGAGTGAGGCGATGTAAACGCCACTCTATTGGACATTATGGCTTTACAAATTGCTTCGCCCGTATGAAATCTTTCGATGTATTTTCGCAGGAAAATGAGTTTGTGTTTAAACTGCTAGGGCTCATAGAGCGGAAGTTCTTTCATCAGCCCTCTCCCCCCGAGTAAAATCGATAAAGCGTGTATATATAGAAAAACCATCTTGTTATGGTATGGTGGCGGCTGTGAATCGATATTAATTAATTTGTTATTGGGAAAGTCGCCTTTTCCTTCCACTTTATTCCAGTTGATTGGCATTTGCTGGCTCTTGTGAACGCCAGCCATCAGCCATAGAAAAATCCCCCACTGACTGAATATTCGGTGTGAATCACGAATGAAGCTATTTTTAGCAGCCGGCTTATGTTTGGTCTTTTCCCATTTTTTCCCCAATTAACTGGCCGAAGACGCTGCAATTATTCGCTCGGGCGCTTTTCCCATTTTTCAATAACTCTTCAAGTGAACCTGTTCATTATCTGCTTGTCAGTTTCTCGACTTGAGACTGTCTGGATGCTTCAGCCAGAGATAAGTGACTATTCAATTGGAAGAATGTTGGGACAATGGGAGGAATCGTATCATCCGGTTTAAAAGACGAATTGCTGGAATAGTTTTCGTCGTTAATTAAGGAGATTTAAAAGTTGCGGATCTGTGGGGGAGATTATTTCCCCCCGGGCTGAGGGAAAAGGATTTTCGAACGCATTGACTTTAGTTGATTAACGATTTAGTCAATTAGTGGGAGTTTAATGGGATTCTGCAGTCAAACAGTCCCCTATTCTTCTGAAGAATGCTTCAAAGGAAAGAAGGTCTGCAAAAAATTGAACTTGAGCTGCGGTGTAGCGGCGTTTTTTATCGAAGAGTCTTCTATGGATTGCCAAAATTTCACCTTGCTACCGGCTCTAGATTAGCAGTCACGATTTTTTCAAATATAGAGTGCATTTGAGCAAAAATTCCCATTTTTGGACCAAAATTTAACAAGACGGCAAAAGTCAAAACTTATTACGATTTTAATGAAATTTTCCGTGTTTTTAGATTATTAGCTCTAGATTAGCAGATACGAGCTGCGGTGTTGCGGCGTTTTTTAAAATTCGTAATTTTTACCCCGAGCCGGCGAACGAGTGAAACTTTACGGTTTGTAGAAAAAGTCTTAAGTTCAATGCGTACGAAGTTTCACTCATTGGGGACTCCATTGGAGATCTTTGAAATTTTGTCTTAATAAAGGTTTTTTTCAAAGGATGCAGCTCTGGTTCTAAAAATCTACAACTCCTTGCCTTGAGTGTCCAATGCGTCCAAAATTTCACTGGTTTCTGACTAGCGCTAGAGTTTACTGAATTTTTGAAATTTTACTTTAAAAATTGCCTTTTCAAAAGATGCAGGCAGCCTTGTCTCTGAAAATTCATAACTCCTTCGCTGGAGCCGATGAATGTTTGAAACTTTGGACATTTACAGAAAAAAACCTTAAATTCGATGCGTCCGAAATTTCATTCTTTTGTGACTGGCGATAGAGTTTTTAGAAATTTTGAAATTTAACCTTAAAATGTTTTTTCCTTTAAGGAAGCAGTCATGTTTCTAAAAATTCATAATTCCTATCAAGGAGTAGATATTGGCCTGAAACTTGGGACATTTGCAGTAAAAGCCTGAAGTTTAATGCTTGCAAAGTTTCACTCATTTGTGACTGGCGACGGAGTTTTGCGAAATTTTGCCATAAAAAAAGTTTTTTCAAAGTTTAGCTCATTTTTGACCTGCGATGGAGTTTAACAAAATTTTGAAGTTTTTCCTTAGAACCTTTTTTTAACTCATAGTACTAGAGTATGTAAACACCTGAAACTTTGAACATTGATTTTAAGAAATTGCTCCAGATTAATGCATACGAAGTTTCACTTAATTCTCACACGCCGTTGAGTTGTGGAAAACTTTGAAACTTTTTCAGAAAATGAGCAACTTTTCGCTCACAAATTGAAAATTGTATACATTTTTGAAAAATTGGGAAAGCCACGCGACGCATTGCGTGCATCGGTAATAATTTGCATTCCCCAAACTGCTCCTGGGAGTGTTTATGCCTTAAAAACGATTTTCTAGCCATTTCCTTTATTCACCATCTTTTTTTAGCACGCACAATTTCTATACTTGCGGTTGATTTAACCTTTGCTGACGGTGATGGTGATTAACCAATTATTAATTATTCATCCGAGTTTGGCGAATTGCTTGATAAGAATAACGTAAATAGAAAACTTGCCATCAACAGATTTGAGTCATTCTTATTAATTTTAGCAATAAACGGAGCACTTAGTGATAAAATAAATGGCATAGAAAAAAATCACAATCTTTCTTGGGGTCATAACCAGCTGGGGAATCTTCACTAGAAGTCATAAAGCAGTGATTGATAAGGACTCTAATGCGTTGCTTGAAATGCGCAATTTTGCCTTCCTCAATTAAAGTAAGTTTTACCAAGGGGTTGAAGTTATATACTGGATGTTCTGGAGGGAACGAGCCAAGGGATTTATTTCGACTTTCCAAACATTCCGAATTGTTTTTTTATCATTCAATAGATTAATCCGTTTAATCTCCCATTGAGCAATCAACGCGAGTTTCCCAATGTTTTACCCACAATTTCCACGGAACTTGAAAAGTAATGAAATTTTCCGTTGTTATTGACATCGCAACCAACTCCGGCTTTGTTTCCCTGCAAAATCAATATTTACGTACACCTTTGTTGGCGTCGTTTGACTCGAAATGCGTCCCTAACGTGTATTTGCGATAGAAGGGACGTTAATTGAGTCTTGCTGATTGAGCGAGTTTTAATTGTTTGCAGCTGAAAATGTATTTTTTCCCAGGTGGGAGATCAAGTGGTCGCCCTGCCCGAGTACCGAGCTTGGGCTGAATTGGTGGCAGTTCCCTCCAAGTACGTCTACAAGCTGCCCAAAGGACTTTCCTACTTGGATGCTGTCACCATCACCATGAACTACACGGTCGCCTATATTCTGCTGTTCGAAATCGGCGCTCTTACTCAAGGAAAATCCGTTCTGGTTCATTCTGTTGGTGGTGGAGTGGTAAGTGTTTATGCAAAAAAAAAATTGACAAAAATTGACCGTTTTTGAGGGGTTTATTGAGTCAAAAATACAGTTAAAGCGCCGAATTTTTCAAGCATGGAGTGCGCTTGGACTACAATCAGGATTTAATGCGATTTGAACAAATTGTTCCAGTTTTAGAGGTTCAAGGATCGTCTACAGCCTCTGATCGTTTCACGTTTCTGGGCGATATTCGGATTTGGGTAGTTTTGGGTGAAAACGCCCATTTTTTCACCTACATTTTCCAAGTTGCCAAAAATTATAATTTAGTGCGATTTTAATCAAATTTTCCGTGTTTTTAGCTGCAGGAGTCTGCTATGGACTGCGAAAGTTTCAACTCGCTACCGGCTCTAGATTAGCAGTTACGATTTTTTCAAATATAGAGTGCATTTGAGCAAAAACGCCCATTTTTGGACCAAAATTTAACAAGACGGCAAAAGTCAAAACCTATTACGATTTTAATGAAATTTTCCGTGTTTTTAACTGCAAGAGTCTTCTATGGATTGCGAAAGTTTCAACTTGCTCCCGGCTCTAGATTAGCAGTTACGATTTTTTCAAACATAGAGAGCATTCAAGCAAAAACGCCCATTTCTGGAGCAAAACTTACCAAGTCGGCAACAGTCAAAACTTATTACGATTTTAATGAAATTTTCCGTGTTTTTAGCTGCAAGAGTCTTCTATGGACTGCGAAAATTTCAACTTGCTACCGGCTCTAGATTAGCAGTTACGATTTTTTCAAACATAGAGTGCATTTGAGCAAAAACGCCAATTTTTGGAACAAAATTTACCTAGACGGCAAAAATCAAAACTTATTACGATTTTTATGAAATTTTCCGTGTTTTTAGCTGCAAGAGTCTTCTATGAATTGCGAAAGTTTCAACTTGCTCCCGGCTCTAGATTAGCAGATACGATTTTTTTAAACATAGAGTGAATTTGAGCAAAAACGCCCATTTTTGGCACAAAATTTACCTAGACGGCAAAAATCAAAACTTATTACGATTTTTATGAAATTTTCCGTGTTTTTAGCTGCAAGAGTCTTCTATGGATTGCGAAAGTTTCAACTTGCTCCCGGCTCTAGATTAGCAGTTACGATTTTTTCAAATATAGAGTGCATTTGAGCAAAAATTCCCATTTTTCGACCAAAATTTAACAAGACGGCAGAAGTCAAAACTTATTACGATTTTAAGGAAATTTTCCGTGTTTTTAGCTGCAAAAGTCTTCTATGGACTGCGAAAATTTCAACTTGCTACCGGCTCTAGATTAGCAGATACGATTTTTTCAAACATAGAGTGCATTTCAACAAAAACGCCTATTTTTGGAGCAAAATTTACCAAGACGGCAAAAATCAAAACTTATTACGATTTTAATAAAATTTTCCGTGTTTCCAGCTGCAAGAGTTTTCTATAGATTGCGAAAGTTTCAACTTGCTCCCGGTTCTAGATTTGCAGTTACGATTTTTTCAAACATAGAGAGTATTCAAGCAAAAACGCCCATTTTTGGAACAAAATTTACCTAGACGGCAAAAATCAAAACTTATTACGATTTGAATGAAATTTTCCGTGCTTTTAGCTGCAAGAGTCTTCTATGGATTGCGAAAGTTTCAACTTGCTCCCGTCTCTAGATTAGCAGATACGATTTTTTGAAACATAGAGTGCATTTGAGCAAAAACGCCCATTTTGGGAGCAAAATTTACCAAGACGGCAAAAATCAAAACTTATTACGATTTGAATGAAATTTTCCATGCTTTTAGCTGCAAGAGTCTTCTAAGGATTGCGAAAGTTTCAACTTGCTCCCGGGTCTAGATTAGCAGTTACGATTTCTTCAAACATAGAGTGCATTTGGACAAAAACGTCCATTTTTGGAGCAAAATTTACCAAGACGGCAAAAGTCAAAACCCATTACGATTTTTATGAAATTTTCCGTGTTTTTACCTGCAAGAGACTTTTATGGATTGCGAAAATTTCAACTTGCTCCCGGCTCTAGATTAGCAGTTACGATTTTTTTAAACATAGAGTGCATTTGAACAAAAACGCCCATTTTTGGAGCAAAACTAACCAAGACTGCAAAAATCAAAACTTATTACGATTTTAATGAAATTTTCCGTGTTTTTAGCTGCAAGAGTCTTCAATTGACTGCAAAAGTTTCACCTTGCTACCGGCTCTAGATTAGCAGTTGCGATTTTTTCAAACATAGAGTACATTTGAACAAAAACGACCTTTTTGGACCAAAATTTACCAAGACGGCACAAATCAAAACTTAAAATGATTTGAATAAAATTTCTGTATTTCCAGCTTCAACAGTCTTCTACGCACAATTTCAATTTGCTACTGTCTCCAAATTAGCAATTACGAACTTTTCATTGAGAAAAATTGTCATCATTTTCATGATTTAAGGTGTGCTGGCTAAAATGCTTTTATCAGCTTATTTACCGGCTTAAATGTCTTATAAGCTTGGGCTACCTGAACTTTTTCGATGGATTTACGCGGTTTTTCGATCATCTAGGTGAGGCTCTGGACGGTAATCTGAAAATCCCATCAAAGAACTCGGCTTGACGAAATTACCCAAAAATATCCATCGATTCGCCTTTTTTCACTTAAACTCATTGATACATTTGCGTTCAATCGCTCTTTGCTCTGCTTCTGCTTTGTTGAACATGTTAATTCCATAAATCTGAGCGCACAAAAGCATTTTACATCAACGCGTCCGTCCAAAGATCGCACAATAAAATACGCTCAGCATTTTATTCATTTTCCTAAATGATTAATGTGCCTACATTGTGTCATCTGGAGATTAAATGTTGAGCCTGATTTACATTGAAATGCGTGAAATTTTGGGTGTTTCCAAGGAATAAACCGATAGGAGCATATGGAATTTTTGTGTGAAATAACCCAGTTGGGTCTATGTTCATTGATTTGCCACCCAATGGGACTTGGAGGACATTTTAGGACATTTTAGGACATTTGGAGGAAAATGTACCTAATGGTTTACGAACAGAACGGAAACGGTTACAGTTGCGCCTGGTTAAGAATTCATTCTAGCAAGAGCAGATCGTTTGGACATTTTAACGACAATTTCGCAGTGTGTGAAATAGCAGAAAACTGATTGTTTTTCCAGCCAAAACTTGGCCTGATCAAGCCAAACGGCAGCGAGGGATTTTTTCCGGTATTGCGTTAAACACAATTAAAATCCGCCTTAAATTATCCACTTAAGGCCAGAGACGCTCCTTGTCACTCAGCATCCAATTAACAGCTAATGGAGCACTCAATTAGTCCCAATTTTGGGCTAATCGGTTCTTGGGCTTCCTGTGAAACTCCAGCCAACGTCCAAAGTAAACGATGGTGAAACTCCGTATTGCAAGAAATGCTTATTGCGCCAAACGCTGTCGTTACTATGTAGCGATTATTGGGTTGCATTTTTTTGTTGGCGTGTGCAATCGGAGCTTCCTAAATACCGCAATTTGCTAATTACCGGTGGGTGATTCATGGCCTCTTTCCATATGAATACAAACACAAACTCGTACATTTTAAAGCACCGAAATGGGATTTTTATTTATAATTTGCCGTAGCCGAGAACGTAGTAAATATTTATTGGCTCGTAAAGAAGGTAGCAGGATTAAATTTGCCGCTGGCTTGGGCCGCACGAATTGGGGTAACTTTATGGCTTTTTTCACCACTGAGGAGGACTATTGCCTAATTTTTTTGCTACTAATGTGGGCTTGATATAAAATTGGACGCAAATCTAATGGTTTTATTGCCGGAAAGTAGTCTAGGACGACGACCTAAAAGCGCAAAAAATGAACGAGTTTCTCTTCACAAAACAGCTAAAACTCTTGAATGTATTTCCCTGAAGAAGCCATATTCCAGGGCGTTTTAAATGGTTCCACTTGACTGGAAACCGCATATTACTTAAGAGCAATTCGCACGAATTAGACGCACTTGCCAAGCAATTTGATGTGGAAAGCCGAAATGTTCTATGTGGATGTCTATTAAAATAACAGTGCCATAAAGACGGCGGGAGTCCAAGAAATTTCCCTCAGTTTCGGCTTATTAAACGGGCAAACGATCAATACGGGATAAAGCGGGACTTTTTGCGTTTGGAAACTTTGCTCGCTTATTAATAATCCTTCCTGAGTTTTAGATTCATTTAACCGGTTGGAGATGAAATTCGAAGAACCTTGCCAAAGCCGCAAAAAGAGCAGGACAATTAGTGATTTGCGGCATCCATGGATCCCCATCCTGTTTGTAGTGGCTTAAAGGTTTACTCAAGCGTTTCAAGTCGATGTGTTTATTCAATTTAATCTCGTTTAAGTAACTGCAACAAAGTTGCAATGGAAAGAGGTTGCGTTTGAAATGGCACCGCATTTTCATGAAACCAGCATAAACTTTACATTGGCTGATTACCCAAAGAAACGCCCATTAAATGAGTCAATTTCCCCAACTAGGGTGGCTGAGTGAACATGTAGATGTAGAAAATGATTTTTTTCGGCGCTTTTCCCATCAATAATGAACAAATATTGTAACTGACTGGTTTAGGAAAAATCTGGCGATTTAGCTCAATTTTCGAAAGCAGGTTTTTTACTCAACAGTGCAAAAAGTGTTCAAGTTCCTACTCCAAACCAATGAAGAAATTATTATTATGTTGAACTGTTGCCGATTAAAATAGGATCATAACGGGTTGTGGCGCAATAATCGAAAAGAACAAAGAATGCGCCGACACTGCAACATTGTGCCATTGAGTGAGCACGATCCAAAGAATGGCCAGACAGGCTTTTGGGGACATTTTTCCGATTTACGTTGCGTGAATCCTGCCAACGAAACCACCATTTAAACCCAAATTGCTGCAATCACGGGAGTTCCGGTGTTTTTTGCCAGTTTGATGGCGAAAAGCTGTTTAGCTCTGCATTCTATTTGGTTTCATTTTTCCATTGTTGCGATGCATGCGAAAGTGCAAGACGGGCAAAATAGGGCTGGGTAATTAATACT